ATAAGCTCTTTCTACCTGAGCACAAAGGAAATGGCCTAAATATTAGATGAACAAAATATCAGCTCCCAAGATGATTCTGGAAAATTGCAGGAAAAGGAAGACCATGTAATGCAGATTGATTACAAGAAGTCATTCGACATTCATGCTACTTGACTGGATAGTCAAGCCTAAAAGTAACAGGAATCAGTAGAAGCATCAGAAGTTTTGTGAAAAGATTAATGGTGCAATGGAGGACACGGTTGGTAATCAATGGGGGTAGACTGGAAGAGGTTAATATCAAAAAAATGAATCTTTTAAAGAAAGTCAGTATCACTACTATTGTTTGACATTGCACTTATTTCTATGCCGAGACTACTGAACAAATCAGGCCATGACTATTAAATATTAAAAAACATTTGCCAAGCTATTCCAGCTCTTTTTCATGGATGATCTAAAGCTGTATGGAAAAACACTGTCTGAAATAGGATCACCCCTCAACATTGTTCATATATACAGCCAAAATAATGCAATGGATCTCAGACTGAACAAATGTGCCACTCTCCATCATCAGGGAAAGAATAATGAAAACTGAAGGTATCAAGATGCCCTATGAAAATAACATTAAGAATCTGGATGAAAATGATTTGCTACAAATACCTGAGCATCCCTCAAGCTGACAAGATCAAGCACACTGAAATCAAGAAGGGTAGAAGTGAATACATCAAGAGAGTGGAAAAGATCTTGAAGTCCAAACTCAGTGTAGGGAAAAAAAACCATTAAGTCAATTAATACCAGAGCAATTCTAGTTATTAGACAACACAGTTGGAATAGTGGACTGGACTCAAGCAGAACTAAGAGCTCAGAATAGGAAGAACAGAAAAATACTGACAGTGAATCATGCTCTTCATCCACACAGCAATATCGATAGATTCTACTTACTAAGGAAAAACAGGTGGGCATGGGAATGTTGCAAATAAGCCAGCTAGCTGAAGAAGAAAAAAGAGCATTGGAAAAATATCGGAAGGTTAATGAAGAAGATGCATTGAAGCTAATATACTACAAAGGCTGACTGAGTATTTAAGAGACCAAACTGGCCTACATGAAGTATCAAATAAAGAACATAAAAAGGGACATGGCAAGACAAAGTAAAAAAAAAGCAGGCTAACAGATAAGAACAAGACCTGCCAGTGACTAAAAGCAGGAAAANCCACTTAGAGCTGAACCCAGAAGGACATTTCTTTCAACAGTACATTTACTAATCTACCATCATAAAGCTAACTAATCACAAAGTGGTACGCTTAGAATCCTGTTCAGATCTCCTATCTGAAAAGCATTCTCTCTTTTCTGAGGGGAAGAATGAAAAAAAAAAAAAAACTTCCCCACCATTCCATGCAAAAACACTGGTCGATCAGAAAAAAATGCTGCTCAACAAGAACTATAAGATGATCTATGTATATACAAAAGCAGTTCTCAATAGCAATGGGGCAACATTTGCCACTTTACTTGAAGCAACCAATTTCTGTTCACCAACATTTCTTGACTCTTTGGTCACCCGCTGTCTGACACCTGTAAGCTGACCTTTTGAAGTCTGTAAAGTCTTTTGTCTGTCTGAAGTCTATAAAATGCAGACTGTTGAATCATGACGACAATACCCAGCAGGGAGGTGAAACAATGAATGAGCCTACAAGAAGTCCTTTGCATGGTCAAGGTCTTTCTCTCCAAGGGATTTTTCTGGAGATGTAACCAAACAAATGCTCCTTTACATTTTATACCTTAGTGCATTTCTTTAGATGCGAGGCTTATCATTATTCTGAACGTATGTTGAAGATGGAGATCTGTGACCCTTTCCCCACCCATTGCACATATTGTAATATCTAATATATTTTGAGACATTTCAAGTTATGCATGCTAAACCACAAATCCACACAATTCAATAGGACAGAACTTTAATCAATGAAAAGTTTTGTTTCTGAAGCAATGCATATTTATAATCCATATAACCAACAGGAGATGAATAATGCCTCAGAATAGTTTAATTCTTATGAATTATCCCTGTTCCCTTGCTGTTTTTATTCAATTTCATTTTTGCTAATTAATCTGCTTGAACCAGCATGATATTCTTTAAAGGAACTTGACCTTTTATTGAATAATTTATATTGATGCATGCACTCTGCAATGAAAGTTTGTTAGCAATCCCCTTGGCAGGAGAAAAATGAAGTCAAAGCCTTTCGGTAATTTGTTTGCAAGAATATTAGTATAATCACTTATTGGCATTAATTATTTCTACCACAGAGAATACATATTAAACAAATGGTCAATGTAAATTAGAAGTCGTGGGCGTCTTTGGGTTTCCCAATGAACTGAACTGAAATGCCACAGATTGGGAAAGATAAAGATAGGAAATGATAGGCAAGATCAAATGTATGTATGCATGTATGTATATATGTATGTATGTATGTATGTGTGTAGGTGTAGGTGTAGGTGTAGGTGTAGGTGTGTATNTTTCCCTCCCCTTCCCAGGAACACAACAGCACGGCGGGGCTGTGACTATAATGGTGACAATGGGGAATGATTCCGTTCCTGTTAGGTATGCCTATCTCATTTGTACCAGAAGAGGGAGCCAGCTTCACAGTGAAATCCGAGTTGCTGAAGTTGGTGAACAACACAATGAATCATATAAAGAGAAAGTGAATGTGCCTTGCTGTCGAGTGCAGAAAGGAGGGGAAGGGAGGAGAGAGAGGAAAGAAAAGAACCAGAAATAAACCGCGGCAAAAAGATGAAGTGAGTCTTGTCCTTTCAGCTGGGAGTTTGTACCATCAGCACTCAGGAATGGCCCACCCTCATAAACAACTTCTTTATATGGTAAGTTCATGCCTTAGCCCTTAGCATCAACTTGAGTTATGCATGGTCTTTGTTTATGGCAGCTGGTTTGGGTTCATAAGCAGGCAGGTTCTTTGGCTTGACTGTGTGTTGATAGTAGAGCATTTTGATCCCCCCCCCTTGTTTTTCTTTTCGTAAATCATGACCTAAAAGAACGAAAATTCATACGTTCTGGAGGATGAACATCTTTCAGGCATCCTTAAGTCTTAATACACATGTGTGGCCATGCATAATTCTACCTAGAGTTTGCACAAATAGCTTGGAAAATTGGATGCCTGATAACAACCGGCTGAGTAATTTTAAAGATCGCTTGGGATCATGTTTGCCCATTTATTTATGACGGGAGGATAAATCTATATACCTTGACTGTTTAGAAAGACGAGCAGGATCTTGCGTGCCACTATGCAACCACAGTGGCAGTGGGGAGTTAAAATTAGGATGGCATATTCAAATTTTTGAATATTGTGGAATTTAATTTTCCATTGTTCCTTCACACATAGGGAGAACAGTGTACTTGTTCTGTGCTATAGAAGAGAAAGAGAGAAAGACAGCTTCCTGCAAGAGAAGATGCTTGATTTTAAGGTCAGGAAATCTAGGTGCATATATTGCTTTATAATGTTATTCATGCCTGGATGTCCTTCCTCTGAGATTTAGAAAAAAGTCCTCAAGCAAACAAATCTTTCCATGCCGGGTTATGTTGCTCTCTATCACTCCAGGCAAAATGAAGCCAATACTTCCAGGACTGTCGGCTTGGCGATATGAAGAGAAAACTTACGAGTTCGTAGATGCATGTTTAAGGTTAGAGCACAGAAGAATCTGAGGAAACTACCTTATCTCGATGCATTTGAAGCAAAAGGAAGCATTGACAATTTCACCTAACATTTGAGAAGTAACGTGCTCTGTGCTTTGATGCACAGAGTTTGCACATGAACCACAAGGGCTGTAGCTGAAACATCCAGGTCGAAAGAGACCTGAACTCTGGATTGGTCGTTATTCTTCTCCTTCATTCTTCCAATGAAAACTAAAAGATCAGCACTTTTCAAGATCTTTGCCAGAAAACTGGAAATATCATGTCTTTGCTTTGGATGATTTCATCCTGATGGGGCATTTCAGCAGGATGTACAAAGCGTGACTTGGGTGATGAACATCCAGACGGGACTGCTTTGATACCCACATGAATCATAAAGGCTGGCTGGAATTGAAGGAACTTGTCCACGTCCTGAGCAGGCTAATCCAGAAGAGTCCTCAAAGTTCACTCTGGTGGCTTTTGCTAAAAAAAAACAAAACCCAATGCCTGCTTAGCATTCTTCCACCAGGATATTATTCCCAAAGCAATGAATTCGCTTGCTGTGATTGTAACCCACCGTCTTGCTATGCAATTCAAATCCTAAACATAAAGTTGGAAGAAAGAGAAAAAACATGTTTCCCTGGATTAGACACAAGCGACAGAAGTCCGAAAGGTAGGATGGAGAATTTCTTCTGTATGCAAAACTGTGATCTTTCTATAAACCTTTTGAATGTTTTAAAAATGTAAATTTATTTTCTTTGCCTCTAGGACGATGAATCTTTATTAAACTATTTGGAACAATGAAAGGAACTGAGTCTCGAGGCTACGTACAAAGGCAGAACTGATCTTTTAATTTCAGAGCAGAAAGGTATGAAGGCTGAGGTGGGTTTAAGATGTCCATCCATTAGAAGGATGAGAAATTTTATCAGCAACCAGAACACTTGAAGAGTTACACTTCATTAGATCAGAAGGGCTAGTTAAAAGAATCATTAATCTATTTGAGTGAGAAAAAGTGCAAGCTGAAAAGTAATTACGCTCTATACAGAATTCTCTGAGGATTTTTCTCCCACTGGCCTGTTTTTGCTAAGAGTATTCTATTTTTGGCTAATGTTTAAAAGAAGATCGTTTTTTTTAAAGGCAGAGGGGGGGGATAGGTGGGGAAGGAGGGTAAGCCCTGATGTGATCCACAAGTTGTGATGGATTATCTGTTTGTTTTTGGTTTTTTAAAGTTTTTTTTGAGAGAGAAAGAGAGAGAGAGAGAGAGAGGAGAGACAGAGAGAGAAAGGGATCCTCCCAAGACCAGAGACTTGAACACGAATCTTAGGATGCCTGCCTGGTTCTGAGCAATTAAATTGTAAGCTGTGTGGGAACACGAGGAGCTGATGCCCCTACCAGGCCTGTGGCATGATTTTGCCTGACAAGGAAAGATGATTTGGAACAACACCACTATGGACGGGGAAGGGTTGCTTGTGAAAAGAGATTCCTGCTTCCGAATCCTCACTGGCTGCTTCCTCTCCTTGCTGATCCTTTCCACACTCCTAGGCAACACCCTGGTCTGTGCAGCTGTCATTAGGTTTCGCCACCTGAGGTCCAAGGTGACCAACTTCTTTGTGATCTCTCTGGCAGTCTCAGATCTTTTAGTTGCTGTCTTGGTCATGCCCTGGAAAGCTGTGGCTGAGATAGCTGGATTCTGGCCTTTTGGATCATTCTGTAACATCTGGGTGGCATTTGACATCATGTGTTCCACGGCCTCCATCTTAAATTTGTGTGTCATTAGCGTGGACAGATATTGGGCCATCTCCAGCCCGTTTAGGTATGAGAGGAAAATGACCCCCAGGGCAGCCTTTGTCATGATCAGTGTGGCGTGGACCTTGTCTGTGTTGATTTCCTTCATCCCTGTACAACTGAACTGGCACAAAGCTAAAACCAGAAGCTTTTCAGACTTAAATGCCAGTTTCCAAGGTGTGGCTATGGACAACTGCGATTCCAGTTTGAACAGGATGTATGCCATCTCTTCCTCCCTTATTAGTTTTTACATCCCAGTGGCCATCATGATAGTCACCTATACGAGGATATATAGGATTGCTCAAAAGCAAATACGACGTATATCAGCCTTGGAACGAGCAGCGGTGCATGCTAAGAACTGTCAAACCACTGCTGGCAACAGGAACAGTATGGATGGCCAACAACCAGAAAGCTCCTTCAAAATGTCCTTCAAGAGAGAGACTAAAGTTTTAAAGACTTTGTCAGTGATCATGGGAGTGTTTGTATGCTGTTGGCTGCCCTTCTTCATCCTGAACTGCATGGTGCCCTTTTGTGAGTCCAGTATCTCATCCCAGGGAGCAGAGCCATTTTGTATAAGTTCTGCCACATTCGACGTTTTTGTTTGGTTCGGATGGGCCAATTCTTCCTTGAACCCGATCATTTATGCCTTCAATGCAGATTTCCGCAAGGCGTTTTCCACTCTTCTTGGCTGCTATAGACTCTGTCCTTTCTCCATTAATGCGATAGAGACAGTTAGTGTCAACAACAATGGGGGTATGGGTTTTTCCAGTCAGCTTGAACCAAGAGGTTCTAGCCCCAAAGAGTGCAATTTTGTCTATTTGATTCCCCATTCGGTCCTCCGCCCGGAAGAAGAAGGCATAATGAAAAAAGAAGAGGAGGGAGTATTCTCTAAAACCTTGGAAAAAATTTCTCCAACCCTCTCAGGTATTTTGGATTTCGAGGCTGATGTGTCTTTGGAAAAGATCACTCCAATCACGCAAAATGGCCAGCATAAAACCTGAGGTGTAAAGTTGACTCATTAAAAAAAAAAAAAGATCATTTGAGAAAGATTTTCAACTTTTTTTGTCTGTTTTTAGTAAGAAGGTGTGCTATTGTGAGAATCAAAGCCATCACATAAAATCCAGAACTTAATCAGCTGCTGTTTGACAAAAAACATAAAATTTAAAAAAGAATTCCACCTTTCATACATTGTATTTAAAGATTGTTCTGTGTTGTTCATCTTGAATGGAAATGAATCAAATATGTAGGTACGGTGTAGCTGCAAAAAAAAAAAAAAAAGAAAAAAAAAGTTTTAAGTGGATACATGTTTGCAGAAACAGACCTGGAGAAATTAATTTTAATTCTCTGTGTGAATAAAATGTAATAGATTTATATGAGATTCCCATTTGACTTGCATAGTCATTTGTGGGTGTTTATACATTGCAAGAAAAATTTGATAACTTGCCAGATTAGGTGGATGCCTTTTAAAACAATTTTGAACATCAATACAGCCTTATAATAAGAATGGGATATTTTTAATAGTAGGAAGATTATGTGTCAATATTGGCTTTCTTTATTTATTATTTAATTGGGTATTTTTTCATATGTTTAAACAAAACACAACTTTATCTTATTTTAATATGTGTCAGAACAAAATAGGATATTTGTATGTATGGTGTTATTCATTGCATTTTTGATCTGTTTACTAGTCAGCACTTTATGAAGAAGAAAAAAGGGAGAATTTACAGCTTTGTCTAGCTAACTTTGGAACTTGTAGGTATTCCAAACGCAGCAAAAGGGATAAATCTCCAGTACCTTTTGCTGCACAAAAAGAGAGGGAGGTGTTTTGTGGGTTCTTTCTGAAGCAGAAGATCAGAATCACTTGACGACAAGTTATACAGACTGTGACCTTCTAGAAATAAAATGTGTAGCTGTAGTTTTATTTTCAAGTTTCAGTCTGTGTCAACTTTGCTTGAATGCCAGCATGTGAAGCTGTAGATAGCATATTGATCTAAAAGGAATACCAATGAAAAATGAACACTAATTTAAAGATAGGGTGAGCTATGAAATAAAACATCACCTATATTTGCTATTTCGAAGATGAACTAATCCTCTTAGATTTCTCTTATTTCAAATTTCTTTTTGGCGGGGGTGGGGGGAGAATAATTAACCCCTTTCACAATGGGAGGGTAGATCTATCCACCAATATTCTCCGTGATAGTTAAACAGAGCTTCAAATTGTGCAGGCATATGCCAGGGAGAAGAAGGGCTGTTCTTATGCCAGCTTCCATATGCCTCTGCCCTGCTACTGTGAGAATGCAATGCCACTTAGTCTGATCCAGAAAACTATTCTGTGCTCTTATGAAATGGGTACCAAAAAAAAAAATCAGCATAGGAATGCTAGTACCCTGTGGAAGCAGCACAGTTTGTCTTAAATCTGCTTGTTTTAATTTTCACTTTTGTTCACTGCTCCTTACATAGAAAATAGTGCCTCGTTCTGATTTTGGATTCTCACAAAATGAAAAGAACAACAAAACTCCTCCTCACTTTCCTGCAAGTTCCTAGAGTGGCCAAAATTTGCTTTCCTTTTGCTCTGTGGAAACCAAAATTCCTCCCACAGTCCCTTAATCATATTAAATAAAAATAATGAATGTTAAAGCTACGAAAGTAATTTACAAACATGTGTATTAGATAGTGATGATGATTGAATGATGGCAAAAACCCTTCAGAGTTTGGAACAAAATACACCATCCATTGAGACGTAGTCAGAAAAGGAGAAACGTAAGAGATAAATTAGGTCCACAAAAAATATACTTCCTAAATCAGGTCTGTGTTACTCAAGTATTGTGAATGTTTTCATAATTCTATTGCCTGTAAGCTGCTTTCATACATATAATAAAATTATTTTGTGAACATAAGGTCAAATAAAGCGATTTACATTATATTTATTAAATAAAACTTGCTTTTTTTATTGCCATGTTGTTTTGACTAATCGGCAATTTCCTCCCACTTTCCTTTTTGTTTGTTTTGGAACCTCTTGTGACATTTAATTAATGTCTGGTGAAGATCAACTAAGAATCGTCTCTTGCGGTTTCTTTTCTGCAGTCTGCAGTCTCATGTATTGGGACAGAGTTGATTTCTATCCTTGTAAGAATTGGGCAGAAAAATAGAGTTCCCTTAGTATAGAAACTCCCTTTTTCCATGCAAAAGTTTGATTGTCTGCATCTTCTGATAAATCTGAAAAAAAGTCTTTGGAGGGTTACTGCTGTCAACACACAGCACTACTGGGAAAGACGAGCAGTGATTATGTGCAAAAACTGTTTTCTCTGTTGTAAAGAACAAAGCATTTTGATGTAATGTGAAAACAAATGTTTGCAACATTTTTTTTTAAAAAGAGTAACAATAATGAAATACTTTTTTTTATCATGAAAGATTTAAACATCGTTACGTCAATGGCCCTGAGCAACGAACTCTTTGCCCCTGTTTTTAAAAGAGAGTCACTGCTCTATCCGCTCATGTGGGTGGGGCATTCTGATAATTCAGAGGTAAACAAATGATCAGGCATGCTTTATTTCCTCCTTCTTTCAGGGAACTGGATGTCTAATTCATGGCTTTGGTTTTGATTTTTTGAAATTTGCAATAGTAAAACATGGTAGAAGAAAACTGGCACTTTATTTCAATTGTTCTGGGCACTGAACAGATCTGTCCTGATGTTTGAACCAGGACCAAGAAACAGTGCAAATCTCCTGCCAAGTCTTCTTGCTGAACTCTCAATATTATTGCATGAATGCATGAATATGTCCTCGTCTCTCTATATGTGTCTGCATGTATGTGTGTGTGTGTTTGTGTGTGTGTGTGTGTGTGTGTGTGTGTGCAAACTTTCATGTGAATGATTATGTAAGTATGTATACATTATAATAGGATCAGACCTTTCCACTGGGAACTTATGGCCTTATGTCCAAGGAGATCCTTAGTCATCCAGGTCATGGTTGTCCAAATGTGCTTTTTCAAGCAGCAACCAAGATGAGAAACGAAATATCTTCAAAGACAGACCAGAAAGTCCAGTTGCCTCTTGAAAAAGCACCCTTGGGACTTGTGGTTTTATGAAATTTGCTTCTTCAAGATGTACCCAATGAGTGTCAAACTGGATGGCTTTTTAGGGAAGTAGACAATTTTTTAGAAAGTTGTACAGTCATGGATATTCATTATAAATGGCTACCCATGGCAGAATACTACTCAATATTGGCTGCTGGAAACAATAATGTGTTTGTGGGTGCTTATAGGTTTTTTTGCAAATGTTTGGTTGATTATCAGGACGACCTGGGCTAAATCATTTGGCTACACTGCTGCAGTTGATCAGACATTTTGTACGATATATTGCCATTCTTAAATTCTTCTGTGCTTTTAATGTTAAACCAGCCTATCTATTCTTTCTGAACATGTAACTTCCTGCATATATCTTACTGGAATCAGAATATGTATTCTTCACATTTACCTCTCTGTTTTCCATAGTTTGTGGGGTTGTGTGTGCATAGTACTGAAAAACAGCTTGTTATATGGGTCTCCTGACTTCACACCACAATGTTCATTGATTTCTGCAGTCCTATATATTCTGATTGTCTGAAATGGAGGACTGAACATATAGAATAGTTTTGCTTCTGATTATCAGATTGAAAGAGTTTCAAGCCTCTCTTTCTCCCTCTCTGTTCATTTCTTTCTCTCCCCATGATACTAAATGAATGTTAACGTGACTGTGGAAATTCTGCTGAGTTATTTAAATAGGCTTGCTTGCCATTCATGCACAATAAAATGAAATAGCACAGATAAAATCCATTTTGGGAAACTTTGAGCTTCTTCCTATTGTGGACACGTGTTTTGTTCACTGTCTGATATCCCAGTTCCCAATGTGTAGCTTTAATTTGATTTAATATCTATTTTCGCTCTGCTACATGCCTCAAGACAAGTAACTGAACCACACCCAAAGTTTGAAATGAGTATTTACAGATATTTAATTCTTCTTGTATTATCCATAAGGCTTACATAGTATCATCCAAGAATACTGCCTTCAGAGGGATGAGGGCTGTGTCCAGTCTTGAATTCCTTTCATGAATCTTACTGGACAAAGCTGCCAAATATACATATTGCATACAATCAATTTACAAACAGGATGAAAAGTTAGACAGAGAGAGAGAGAGAGAGAATGCTATACATGAGCATCTAAATTAAGGAGCAGCTTGCTAAATCCAAATCCAAAGGCCTGCCTGGCAGAGCATTCAGCTCTAGAATGGCCAACCAGATGCTACTGGGAAGCTCCAAGCGGGGCATCAGGGAAGAGCTTTTTCATGACGATGAAGCCTTGCCAGCAACTGAGGCATGGCATCTCGGTTCCCCAGAGGCAGCAGAGTGTATTTATGCTGGTAACCATTGACAGTCTTATTCTTCATCAATTGGTCTCATCCCTCTTCAAGCTGGTGGCGATCTAGACATATTTGTTTAATTCTGCTCTAGGCATTTCCTTTCATCAGTCTCTTGGATGAGCCTGGCTATTATGAAAAAGGGAGGGGAAAAAAACCATTCCCTGATTTAATTTTTTTCAAAACATACAAACCTATGCATGTTTCTCTCTTGTTCATGTCAGCCACATTCCTCTCTAGTTGAGTTTCTTTCAAAGACACTTTTACAAAGGATTGTCAAATGCCTAGAGGTTGGAGCAGCATCATGAGACCTTCTGTTTCCATTCATTCAGCATCCTGGCTTTTCACCTCTTTGGGAAGAGCTTTTATCGCGAAACATGGTGAAAAATAAACCGTGCTGTTTCAATTATTCCTAAGGCTTCTCAGTGACATTTTCTCAAACTGTAATTTCCCCTCCTTTTTTCCTAGGCAAAGTATCCCAGTGTGAAATACACCCTATAAAAATGATGTTAGCTTGCTTATATACCTTCTCCTAATCATTTTAGCATTTTAGGAAAAAAAACCAATAACCTCAAATATCGGTTTTCAGAGTTTCATCTGTTTCTTCTTTGTCATTTTAATAGCTTCTCTGGCAATGCTGTTAAAGTTATGTCATCTGAGTTATTGTAAGCAGTGGTTTAGCTTTTTGTGAAATCGTAAGTAGTGTAAGGAAATAAGAGATAGATAAAGTACAAAATAAGGTAGTTTTTACTTAAAGGTTTGTTAAGGTCTTTACTCCAAACAGCTAAAACATTTGTAGTGTACGTGGTTTTCTTCTTGTCAATTCATTCCCAGAACAAGCCTGCGGTATTTTAGATGAGAGAAATTAATTAGCACATAGCCATCATCATCCTTTGGGGCAGGATATAGAGTTGATTCTGGGTCTCTGCAGTACCAGTGTAATACTCCATAAAGGGTAATCCATACATTTTCCACACAAACCAAACCAAACCAAACAAATACAACATAAGAAAGAAACATTAATTTTTCTAGCTTCCCGTAGACATTGCATTGACAGCAACAGAAAGGGTGTAGCCAGGATTTTTGGAACTGTTTTCTTCATATGTTTTAAAGGTTTTATGCTTGGAGATTGGGGTTTGGCATCTTCCCCAGTAAAATAGATGCATTAAACCTCTCAAGTCTTCTAATGCACCTATTTTTCTTCTTCATTGTTTTTCACAACTCAAAAAAAAATAATAATTCCAGAATTATTTTAGTGGTTTGCCATCAAATTTCAATTGCACAGTCTTGAGGGCAGAGTTCTCAAAGCCAGAAAACTAAGTGTGTGTATTGGTGAAGAGTAAATCAGAATGTTCCTCTGGGTAGCCTCCCCATATAATTCCTGTACAGAGACGGATGAGAAAAAATGATATATAAAAACATAGAATCTAAAAGTACTTTTACATGAATGTCTCTCCAAATATAAAGAAGGTGAAATATATGCAGCAATTCATATTTGTCTGGGTGTTGATTTGCAATTGTTAATAAGAAGCATAAAATACCCAAGTTGTAGAAAAATATATGGAAAATGCTAGGAAAACGCTGTTAAAACTATTTGGATTGGAAGAAGTGTTCAGGCAGAAGTGTGCAAACATTTTTGTAATGCTGATTTTTGCAAACAGTGAATCTGAATTTTAATACAAATGAAACAGAGATAATTTTCTATCGGTATGACAAACATCTTTATTGAAGTTTGTACTTTATCTTTTTTAGGAGGCCATTCCAAATATTATTTGTGAAAAATTTCACAGTGAGACAGATTTTCAATTTGAGAAAGAAAAATAAATGCCTAACCCTTTCAGTTTGGTGGACTTTTTTCCTCTCAGATCAGCTAAGGACTGGAGAGAAAGCAAGGTAGGATTACCTATTTTGATCAGAAAGGGTAATTATTTAATGCTTCAATAGGAATTTACACATTTTACTTTCTGTTCATTACATGTCATGGGTCATAACGTCACAGTCCACCTCTGTTAATTGTTGAAAATCCAGATTAAATAAAAGGATCCTCAGGCTATGAAAAAATTATGGGGAGCATAGACTTTAGCATTGACAGTAGTAATCATATCCTGAACAAATTGATAGGCAGGTTTTTGAATTTACAGTTAACATTTGATAGAGCAACAAATGTTAAATATTCTTAGTTTTCAATTTTGTACAAATATGTACCTTAGATGCACATGCACATACCTACATCCACCCACCCACAAAATGTACACACACACACACACACACACACATTTTGAGATGAATCCATCTAAACTGAGAGCAATTAATGAACAGTTTGCTTCCTGAAGTTATGAGTGCTTCATAATTGGAGGTTTTCAAGAAAAATGGATAGTCCAGAATATATGAGGT